CTGCTGAACACAATAGGAAAAGCTGGGCTCAGACTAGTTTTGCAGAAAGACCCCCTTTGTGCCCATCACGCAGGACCACTTGCAGCCTAAAGGTAGAGAGCTTGACAGCTAAGATGTGCATATTTGGTAAAGATTCCAGTGCAGCAGTTTTTTCCTGTGCTGAATCAATAGTTTCAAAACATGTTCTTTGTTGTTCTAATCAATAGCACTTAACAAAACTGTCTTACCACTTTTCAAAGCTCTATATAAGTATTTACCCCTGCCTTTGCCATCTGCAGCATCATCCAGCGATGTAACAACAGCACCTGGCCCCTGAACAGGGTCCCTCTCAACACTGTGCTAGTGTCCGAGATTTACCCTGGGCTCACAGGGCTGTGACCTTACTGAATGGCCACATCACACTGGACCCAGGGGTATAGTGCTTTCTGTATGAAGGGTGCCCGAGTCTGCTTACAAAGCAGGGGGACCTAAATGACACAGTGGTACCCTTAACACAGTAGGCTAACATCTTTTTGGGGAAAGAGTGCAAAATAGCTAATGCATTGAAAATCTACATCCTATTTTATACAAGAAGAAGATTGCTCACAGACAGCCACTAGCAATCTTTGGTTTAAGTTATATGCATTTTCACTGTTTTGGTATTTCTTCATGTTACCATAGCAATTTCCCATATACATCAGAGAAAAATGCTGATGGTGAGATACCGTAATGACAGAACAGTCTCCTAAATGAGAATTTAAAGCTGGACTGGAAAAAACTGCTAGAAATTATACTGCAGGAAACAGTCCTTTCCGGATATCTTAATAGGTTTGTTTCCACTGAGTTTCTCTCCAAAGATAAATTTCTCTCCTGCATGAGGCACTCAGCACTGCAATTTGTCATCACAGGAAACTGCTGCATGTAACTGAGTGTTTTTATTACTTTGCTCAAGACTTCTGAAGCCACTGGGCATGGGCATATTCTGACACCCGTTATGATCCTGCATGTTCACAGAACTGAGGAACTAAATTAGGAACAACCAGCAAAGGTCAAACTGAGATCACAGAAAAAAAGCCAAAGTATCCAAGTGCCCTTTTACAGAGGGGAGGGAAGAAGCTTTGGCTGGCGCATAGTCAACGTCACGAGGCGGCACCTGACATTTTCACACAAAGCACTGGGTCTTATTTTTCAAAGGAAGCTTTTGTAAGAGCTCAGCAAAGTTTATCCTAGACCCTAAAGTGACTGCTCTGATTCACAGCTGTTCTTAAAAGACTTTCCAGGAGCAATCCCATTCACTTCTCCCCATCATGCTAACAGCTTTGAAGGCTCCACAGTCAATAAGCACCCATAAAATATAATTAGCCTTTGCCAGTACTGAATGCGTCATTCTTGAAATGACAATTTCATTGATTTATTAAAGACTTTCTCCTTCCCTGGGACCAAACAAATGGGACCGAGCATCAATGCAAGTCATTAGTTATGGCACTGTTACAAATGCGTGGGCCCCAGATAATCAACGTCTGCTTTCCATGAAAGCATAAGGGCAGAATTTACAACTTTGCCTGCCTTTTCAGCCCTTGACAAAGCTCCCTCCATCAGGACCAACACACAGCCCATGCGTTTTTGGAATCTTTCTAGAGGCACAGCCAGCCAAGCCTTAGCAACTGCTGTCTTCTTGGACACGTTATAGCTGTCACTTGCTCTTCAAAAAAACAGACCAAGTGCACTAAATTAAGGAGGAGTCCACATTACCATTTTAAAGTCTCAGCTGGAAGCAGGATAACAATAGACCCCATCGTATTGTGTTAGCCTCTCATTTGAAAACGAGAGGAGAATGATGGGCTTCCATTAACAAATGTTATTACCTTTCCAAGATTTATCTGTTCTCCTGATATGAAAGGAGCTTAACAGACAGAAGTTAGCACTAAATGAACATTTAGCCTAACTCCAGATACTGCAGATAAATCATGGAGTTTATTGTTCCAGTAGTACTCTCCATTGTTTTGAAGACTACGTAGCTAAAGAACTTGGAATGCATCACAAAAACAATGATTCTCCTGCACACCACCTTCCCCACTGTTCATCTCTGAGCCAGCCACAGATGTGAAATAAACCTGAGATATTTTTCAGTCAGTAAGTGTGGAGAATGTGAGTACTGCTTGCTACAGGAAGGGGTGACATTGCACAGGTTAGGAAAGCATGCCACAGGTGTTACAGGAGGACATTTAAATGCTGCAAAAATTGTCCTTGTGCAGGTGCTTCTCTTCAAGTGTATCCCAAAGCAATCTGCAGTTACATAAGTGATACAGTAGAACAATACCTCCATCAGAAGAAAACCCCGACATAAATTAGCTAACATCAGTTAAAATCAAGGGTTTCTTCCTTTTACAAGCCCAGTAAAAGCCCAGTTTCTTTCTTTTACAAGCCCCACATCCTCAGCAATGGAAACTTCCAATTCTCATTTTACATAACCAGCCTCACATCTAAGCCCAATAGTCTCCACTTGCAGATTGAAACGTGTATACAATGGACTTTTTGGAGGGATTTAGCATGCAGAGTATAGATGCTGCTGTGTTCAAAAGTTTTATCTATAATTTTTTTCCTACTCTCCCCTTGAGTGGAGTCTGTTCTGTTCTATGATTTTTATCCAAAGATACGAGGCACATCTTGTGCTCAAGGGCAATTACATACTGAGGCAGTTATTTCATGGCAGAGACATCAGTATGTCTTCCATCAGAGACATGGAAAAAGGAAAAGATCAGCTTGATCTTTCTGGCCTTTCATAGGAGAACATTGACTGATGGGAATATAGGCTTTCTGCTTAAGAACAAAGGGTCTTTATTCAGTTTCAAGCTATAAACTACTGCTAAAAAGCTTGTTGCTGTGATTTTTCAATGACAGAATTAAAGAAAGTTGCAATTATCTGCCAGGAATGTGTGAAGATAATGATCTGAGAAACTAGTCAGAGGGGGTAGAGTGTTTTGTACAGGGATGAACTTTGCTGTGACACTCACTCATCACCATGGCATCACAAACATCACACGATTAAGTCTCTGAATCTTTGGAGGACTAGCACGGTCAAGAAGCAGAGTTAGAACCCCCATGCCTTGTATCCTGTTCCCAAGACTGCTACATACCTCCCACAGAATGAAGGAGGATTCATTTTACTGTGCAACTTCATTTTGCATTTTGCGTTAGATGGACCATTCTCTGTCCATCTGGTCAGTCGAGACTGTCAACTCTTCGGGAACACTGGTGTTTGTACAGTGTGTACAAAATGGGAGTTCAATCTTGACCTGTGCCTATGGTATGTCATCACTTAGTAATGTTGTCCCTTCTGTAGGGACTGAGATAATGCCTAGAAGCCTGAGTCAAGATTGATTTTTCCAACCTCAACTAGGAAGTCTAGCAAGAATATACCATGTAGTTTTTAAATATCAGTCTAGCATCTTTGCAGACTTGTTCTACCACTTGCACAGCTCCTTTAGAGGGACAATGGACTTCGATCTGGTGAGTTTTAGGAAGCATACGCTGCGAAGCATGCAGTAAGAGGAAGGTGTGCTCCCAACAGTGCTGGGGAGAAGAGCGGTATCTCTTAAGTTTCTGATGTTGCCCCCTCTCTTCAGAGAGCTGCAAAGGTTTGCCCTTCATTGCCCAACACTCCACAACAGCTTCAGATTTTTATATGCAATTTAGAATTGATTTTTTAAAATTGATTCCTGAGCTCATTCTGTCACTTCTTCTTCCTCCCTCTCTCTGGGAAACTTGAACTGTGGGGAATCTCCGCAGTTTGTAAGTACTCACCCTGCATGCATGAATATGTAGGTTAGGTACCTCCAAGCCTGAGCACGGAGCTGAGGATGATAAAGTAATGCATTCTTCAGGTATAAGGGATGGGTAACTTGCAGCACAAATCTGTCTAACGCCACTCCATTGTAAAGAAAAAAGGCAACCTAGAAGAGCAGGGAGAATCCTTGGTTAGCAAATGCCTTCTCTTGCTGAAAAGCACTTTGTAGCTCAAAATCATGGAGAAGCAAGTCAAACGTACAATAATTTTTCCCACATTTGACAGCTTCATACAGCATGAAAGTTCCCTGTTTTGAGGAACCTGAAACACAATGGTAAAAACCTGTTTGTGACTTTCTGTAACACACCAGCCACTAAGTCAGAGGAACTATCAGCTTCATGTTTGTCCTTGTCTGGGTCTAAATGAGTCCCACCCTAGCCCTTGTTCATGTCGTAGCAAAGCCTTTGGCAGTGTGGGGTGGGTTCTCAGAGAGAGGGCATTAAGATACTTGCCTCTACAATAGTGATGGTAATCATGAACCAGGGTGGAGGGCAGCAGGTATAGCTGTCGTAGTACCACTTGCGGTCTATCTCTCGTGGCAGGGTCTCGTATGCAACATGCCGGATCAGCCTCTGCGAAAGGCTCAGCCCTGTTTCCTCCAGCAGCGCCTTGCTGCACAGCCTCCTGTTCCCCTGAAGGATGGCTTGGCGGAAACTATTTGACCTTTTGTTGCTCATCTGGGTAAAAAGAAACGGAAGAAACCATGAGGAGAAAGCAAGGCCTGGCACAACCATTTGGGGAGATTAGTGCCAGTTTGGAAGCACCAGGCTGAAGCTGTAGGAACCGAGTCTCAGCATGCTCACCGGGTAACCTACACAGGGTGCGAGGAAAACCGGTTTGCTATTACAGTGCCAGTAAGTGAGGTCAGGGCAGAACGCTGGCAAGGTAAAGCAGAGGCTGCTGATGCAGCTGGCTGAGCTCTCTAGCCCATTCTCCAGTCTTCCATCCACTGTCTCCACCATCAGTTATCACAATCCACATTCCTGTGTCTTCCTTCCATCAGCTCCCACTGCTCCATCACACTTCCCTGCACCTGCTGTCTCCTGGGGCAGAAAATTTCTCGAATGTAGCAGCAGGTACATTCACAGCATCTAACTTTTGTGTTCTGGTCCTTGTTGGCAGGAGTTAGCTCTGAGCAAAGAAAATTATCCCTTTGTGTAAAACAAAACTGCATGAGCAACAGCAACAAGACAACAAACTAAACTGGTGTACAGGCTGTCTTAGCTGCTATAAGCTTACAAGAAGAAAGGATTTCTTTTAAAACAGGCTTTGGAGGATACAGCTGATTTGTATATGCATTATCATCTTACATGCATAGAATTAGCTATCTATCTTTTTGAGCGTACACTTTCCTAATTTGGATGCATAATTAAAGCAATTGCATTTGCAAATTAGGCAGATGGAATTTTATGCCTAGCCTGCTTGGTGGAAAAAAACCCCAATCATCAGGTCTGAAAGAGCTTGCTCCAAGATTTGGATAATTGCTAATTAGCTCTGATGTCAAACAAACCTGCTGCATTACAGTCACTATCTATACTGGCTGAATCTTTGCCAGGAAGGCTGAAAAGGCTAACTATGCATAAAGACCACTGTAGGGGACCTTTTACAGCACAAGGCAGCAAAGCGAGCATGACAGCCTGGTCCTTCTTCTGAAAGAACTGCTAACTGATCTCAGAAACCACCAGCATCTTCAGTCTCTCAGAACCAAATAAGAGATGACGTTCAACAGCATTGGTTTGCACTTGTCTTGGATCACATTGGTGTCGGCTAATATCCCAAAGACAGCAAAGCCCAGAGCTTGTGCTCTCAGTGCCCAAGCAGCTGGGTAATTGTTCCAAGCTGGATCAAGCTGCTTAAAACACAGTAATCACTGCAGGGAGCCACCTCCTGTTAATCACTGGAAGAGGCGAAGAGGCCATCTGAGGTGATGGCACTGCAGCTCATTCTCCCAGCAGCTGCCCATCCCTCCTTAGCCTTCCATTTACAGCCTGTCCCTCCAATGCAGAAATTCACCGACATGAGCAGTATTGACAGGGAATTGATCTGTTTCAAGTTTTTTAAAACTAGAGAAAAATCTGTTGTTGTTCTTTTTGAGTTGTTTTAGTGAGAAAATGGTTAACCCTAAAAACTTTCTCCCTTCTTGGTATTTTTCCTTTGCTCTCTCTTTTACATTCACTTGTAAAAGAATACTTGTAGCAAAAGAAGCAGAAAAGGCAAAGAAGAAGAAAAAAATTTCTGTCCACAGAAATATGTCTTCCAGTCTTCTCAAGTCTATCATCCAAAAGTTTTTACCTAAAACTACAGAAGATGAGGGGAAAAAAAATTATTGGTGATCATCTGTTGCATTAAGAAAGCCTGCTCATATCAAAAGACAGTATTTTTATAGAGAAACATCCACCAGGTGTAAGGCTTTCCTTAGCATTTTTGAGATGCTTTTTGATAGATGATGGATGTACGTCTGTTTCAAAAGGTACCTTTAGCCACTCAATGACCTCACTGTGTCCACAGAAGAAAGCTTTGCTCCGTGTTAGTCGAGAGCAGCCTGTCAGAGACATACTGTGCATGCTCCCTCACTGAGCTCATTCTGCTCCCTCTGGCTTTGCTACTCTTGTGGACGAGAATAAATTCAGACTGAAACTGTAAATTTTCCTGCTATAGACAAAGATACCAGACAGTTGTCTGAAGCTGCTGCTAGTTACAGTGATATGTGTGATCTTCCTGCTTACCACAAAATGATCAGTGCCCTTCCCTGCTGTAGCACTTCAGTGGAAATTGTAATTGTTTCCAGAGTCAACTAAGGAAAATCATCTTTGCAGTTCAGCATCAAGAAGTGCTGACCACCCTCAGGAGATGATCACCTCGTTGCTACAGAGACTGGTGAAAGAGACGGGCAGGAAAATGCAAAGGCTGCTGACGTTCATGTCCATGCTAAGCTCGTAACAGAAATTTCCTTGCCTTTGTTCAGCAGACAATCCTAACACAGGCACCACTGAACCCTACTGAGGGTTACTGCTGAGCATGGCAAGAAGGGACTTGCTCGGTTCAATTGCCCAAATTCAGCACAGCCCCATCAGTCCAGTGTCCTGCTCTGCATTACTGCTAATGCTGCCCAAAGAGCTCAAATAACAGCCAGGGCAGTGCAAATTCATCAGCATGATGCTTCTGAAGGTGTTCTTCAACATAGTAAAAACGAAGCAGAAGAGAAAGGTCATCTTAATTTTGTTAAGAGCAGGATACTGCAGGATCACCGTGGAAGTCACACCTCAGATGAACAAAGTTTCTGGCTCTCGTGGGGAGGTGGGAAGCTGGACCTCACAACACTAAGTGATTTGCCCAAGGCCATACACTAGAATTAGAAGAATCTAGGCTGCAAGACTTCTCTGATCACTAGGTTGCACTGCTTTCAAGCCCTTCTGTTGAGCAGAAAGCTCTCCCTCCTCCTCCAAGGGAGGAAAATAAACCACAGGATCTTCCATACCCCACATAGAAGCTAAAATGGAAGCTCATGACAATGTTATTTCCTCCAAGAAATTATGAAAGTCATAGCTTTGTTCTCTCAACCACCTGTTCTCATACCCCATTATTTTTACAAAGTGTTCCATATTGGTTGTTTCTGGCCACATCTGAATGATAAAATGCCAAGAATTATTTATACTGGTAATGATAGGAAAGCAGTAAATGTAGATATTACAAGAGCAAGGGAAGCCCTTGGACAAAATGCTGATAGCTCTCTGGGGAGCACATGTGACTGCTGGAGAAAGACCTTGTAAGCCTCAACACATACAACAAGGTTATTTCTATACACTATGAAGCACCGTCCATTGGTAACCTCTCTGAACAACAGGTTCAGATGTATCGCATCAGCTGCACTCATAAGTAGCAAGCAGAGCCTCTTCATCCTAGTTGATTTTTGGTAGCGCTCCCCAGATAGTGTAAAATAGGCACAGATAAACATATAAATGGATGAAGAGTTTCTAGGGTTTGTCAATACAAACCAAAGTAAATGCCTGAGAAATTATTTATGGCTAACTCAGATATGAGCCCATGAGATCAAAGTGTTAAGAGATGGAAAAGACTTTTGAAGTCAACTTCTTAGGTGGACTACATCCTGTCCCAGGATATAGGTAGGGTCTACTGTGTATTCAAAGTCATGACCTCTTAGCAAAGAGGCAACAAGAAAAATGCCTGCAAATGAAATGGAGCAGGTCACGAACTGTTGCAATCTTGCAGAACATATGGAGATATCCAGATATTCTTCCCAGATTGCAACACACCTTCTTGGAAGGAACATGGCTAGCAAGGAGAAAGATACTCCCTGCATCCACCAACAAGAATAGTTGCTGTGTCAGTGGGAGCCAGATTTCAATTTACCCAGAAAATTAAAAGTCTTTGGTGCCCGTAATTACAACTCTAACTCTTCAGAGCTCTTAGCACTAACTAAACCTCCTGCCACATCAGTCAGGAACGTAAAAATATTTGTCAGGCATCCTTTAGAGCAGAGGATATGGAAAGAAGGCCCAGGTTCCCTCTAATTGCCATAGCCTTGGTGTGGTTTTACACCCAGATGAGGCAGGGACACACAGTGTCAGGAGCATGCCACATGCGCTCAAAAGCCCCCACAATCCACTAAGACGTGGATGACTGGATGTACTCAGCACCTGTTAAAATTAGGCCTCTCAGTAAGAAGACATCCTGCTGGTCCCCACCTGCAATCATTGCCCATCACACCAATGAGGAAATGATCTCCTAAGAGGCAGCACAGCTGACTGCCAGGGCTGAAGCAAACACAACAGTCCTGGGCCTACTCACATAACCCCTCAGGCCTTTGGATCATGCTCTTAATCTCAAGCTAGGAGGTGATAGGCACGAGGAGAGACAGAGGATTAAGTCACTACCACTGCTTTCACCAACTCTTGATGAGAAGCCTATTTTGTTCCTTGGACTGACTTTGGAAGACTTAAATCTTCCCAAACAGAGAGTCTCCCATATGGTCACAATTTGCTGACTTGATTTTGGAATTACATAATATTGGTATTTATGAGCCAAGTATTTAATCATCAGCTGAAAGAACACTGGGCCCATTGTTGGCCTGCATGTTACTATGGCTCCAGAAGTTCAGGGCAGCCCACCCCACTTCTCTTCATGCAATTGATCTGGGACTTCTTTAATGAGAGTGATATTAAAGCTGCAGGCAGATGGGTACAGCAAATTGTATGCGGGGAATGAAGGTGGTGGTGGGCAACAATGCATTCCCTTAGTCCTTTATGCCTGCAAAAAGTTATTATGCAGAGAGAAAGAAATTTCCCTTGCAAAACAGCCAAGCTGACATGACTGGTAACAGTGCACTGCCACCTCCACCCTTTGGTATTACCATACTAAAACAAAACAAGGCTTAGCGCTACAGCTCTTCTCAAGGAAGGGTTTGATCAAAGGATGGGTTTGATACATCTGCCAGAAAGGAAAAAAATTTCCTACTTGGGTCTGAACTTGTCTTCAACAATGAAAATGTCACAATTTAGGCTAAGAGTCCTTACCGTCTAGTGTGAGACGGTGCCAGACTTTGGTAAAGTACAAAGCCCTGCTTTTGCTCAGGACACACACCAGTCTTGAACTAGTCTCAAGTAATCTGCAATTTGCAATGGAAACTGTCCATTCCCACTGGCAGACCAATTTCTCT